ACTAGGTGTGTGTTAATTCCTCTCTTAGTGAGCAGATTCACCACTGGCCGATGAGGTCTCCGGCAAGGGGACCCCTTGCCCCCCTCCTCTTTGTTCTTGTTGTCAACTACCTCGGTCATCTTATGGATGTTGCACAAGAGCATGGAGTATTGGCTCCCCTGGGTCGTCAGGTTGTGAAACATAGGGCATCTATGTACGTTGATGATGCATTACAAAATCTATTCTATTTTGCGGCGTTTCACTTATGTCACGTAAAACTTTTTTTCATCACGGAAAATGTATTGTTGAAGTTTCCCGACCGTCACGCCCACTGTCACTAAAGCGTCGCCATAAAAAATAAAATCCTGATGGTACCGCTTCCTCCGTCTCGCAAGATCGTATCTTAGGTGACAAACCCAAATTCGTTGCCGAAGCTATCTTCCGCGACCGCCCAAAAATGTCACTCGAACTGTCACAGTATACGATCTACTAGTCCCTCGTTGTATTTTTCGGTGACAATACATCCGTCACAAACAACTGACACACCATGTTTGACCAGTGAACATTTCTGACATATGGGCCCATAATATGCTGACGTGGCACCTTACAGCTAGGCTCGGCCGAGGCTTTATCACCGACGGCAGCCGTCAATAATAATCAGATTTGACCGGTCAAAGATCCTGACATGTGGGCCCATGGGATGCTAACGTGGTTGCTTACATGTGGGTACGAAAGGTGGTGATGACACGCATTTATGTCACTATAACCGTCACAGTTTTTTAGTGTTGCAACTGGCAACCAAATTTAAATTTAAAAAATAGTAAAATTTAAAAATGAAACAAACATGCTAAACACAATTGTAATAATGATCAGCCAACTGAGGAAGTATCACACATGACATAAAAAGAAACACACAAAGTACCACATATTACAAAATATAATAAGGGACGACCAAAGTTTCCGGACGAAGAAGACTACCATCAGGGTTGTGACATGCTGTCTTAGAGCCCCCCAGAGTGGATGCGACATGATGTTATCAGAGCCGTCATGCCTCTTCTTTAAGAGATAACCAAAAGCTCCTTCCAGTTCTTATTTCTTCTTTTACATAGAAGCGGCTTTCTCCTCTTATTCCTTCTTAAGAGCTGGAATTTCATATTGCTGCTTTGCTTTCATCTATTCGATTTCTTATTATTGCTCTAATATTCTTGCATTCATCTCTTCTTGATACCTATCAACTGTTGATCTCACAGCTAGCTCCTGAGTTGCAAGTCTCTCCTCAAGCTTTCTCATGCGTTCATGAGAACTTTTCTTCTTCCTGGAGGCATATGACTCTCCCATGCTGATTGCTTGTATCTACGTTGGTAT